GAGGAGGTACGAAGAGATACCAGCGGCCGGTCAAGGACATCCCCGACCTCACCTCCCAAGATCATCTCAATTACCCAGGGAATCCCGGATATTCCTCCTAAAGAGCTCCCCTCTCCGCCCAAAATCCCCCACAAGATCCACGTGCCAATAATCCAAAGGAAACAAGTTCATCGACACAGGATCACCCATACCCCAAGACTTCAAGTCCTTGGCCACCAGCACCCGGGGTCTTTAACCGACGCCAGACGTTGCGACGCCACCACCCCCACCCCCTCACCACCTCATAGCAACAGAATAGCAAATAGACGACGATGAATTCCCTCAATGCTCCAACCACTTCATCCCCATCGATTATTCATGCCCTGAAAATTCCGATAACCTTTTTCACCCTGAAAGTCCACCTGTCGGCCTCCACCCACCCCCTCCCACCAAACACCTCAACCCTACACCTCGTAATATCACACATACGTACCTCAATCACCTGATCACCCTGTAATTACCAGATTCATTCCCTGAAATCATCCCCCAAATTTTATGCCTCGTGCCATGAGTTCAGGGAGTTGAACAACCCCATATGAGTATTAGATCGATTTTTCCGCACCCTCTTCTGGAGAAAAAAGGGAGAGAAAAAAAAAATCAGGACACAGATGAGAGAGCCTGTAGGCCTGACCCTTGTCCCGGGTTATCAGAAAAGGGCACGAATGAGGGAAGAAATAAGTGGGGAAAAATAAATATCAAAAGTGGGGTTTGAGCTTTTTCCTCCCCACATTGGGATGTCCTCTGTCGTAGCCGGTGAACCGTCGGGGAATACAGTATCACGAGTGTAGAGGGGTAGATCAATACACAGGGCGTAAAGGCGCTTGCACATTCTACCGGAGGCAGTTGCTATCAGTTGCTATCGTGCCGCGAACACGCGTTGCACGTTTTTTTTTTTTTTCAAAACGCTGCTCCATGTTGTGCGCGCTTTCACCACCTCGATCAACATAATTCGGCAAAAGGTACAGCATCTGGGGGTGTCATTGTCTTCCGGGGAGTTTTTCCATCGGTTGGGATTTGATTTTAAAAAATCGATCATTAAACCCTTTTCAACATTTTTTCTATTTATTTTTCGTGGGAGAATTTTTTTGGTGTCTTGTTTATGTGAGGTTGTACTCGGGATTTTCTCGCGGTTTGATTCCACGATTTTTGACGCTCTTGGTGACGATTCAAATTCGGAAATAGATCTGGGCAGGTGTGCGAGTTTTTCCGGGGAGTTCTACGAAATTCTTGCTCATTGTTCCTGACGTTTTTATTTTTTTATTTATTGCCAAGAATTTCAGTAGACATTTCTAATTTTAAATTGTTCATTGCATTTGAATTTATTTGAACAGTCAATTCCGATCTGCAATGGCAAATAGAAAAATTATTTGCTAGGAGTAATTATATATAATGATTTTCCTCAGTGCATGCGAGTGGAAAATAGTGGAAGGCCGCGATCTGGCTTGATTTCAATAAAAAAAATGGAAAAGAGAGTGGGTGACATTAGATTTTAATATTCATTTTCCCTCGGACAAATCGTAAGTGCGAACAGTTTGTCATAGCATTGAGATCGTGAATTGAGGTCTGAGAATTTTTCCTGTGATTAAAATACGCGGATTTTCCATTCCTCTCGTGAATTCTTTACCTCGACGGTCAGTCCTCATGTGATTGACAATTTCCAACACGCAGAGTGATTCGATTCCCTCTTTTTCTCTCATTGAGATACCTCTAGAATTGCAATACGATTATTTACACAAGACACTCAGTCGTCCGGAATCTTAATCGGGAATTGTTAATGCCTAAGCGGTACGTTATCAAAGTGCACTTTGTTGAATTTCATCTTTTGTTATTAATTTCTTGAAAAGCAACAGTGACGTAAGGTGCACATCTGCTGTGAGTGATTACACTTTGGATCATTAACTCCTTTGTCACAGGTTGCATGTAACAAAAAATTTTCTCACAATAAATGTTTTTTCAAGTCTGTGAACTTGACGGAATAAACGACTACATGCGTCACTCCGATAAGATCCACTCTATTTAATGCATTCGCTCATTGCATTGACAATTAGAAAATACTATAAATAAAATATCCATTGCAAATTTGAGAGTGTCCTCAGGTGAAAGGAAATCTCACAATGTATGTCATTAATTTCCAGTGGTTGGAATTTCGGGAGAATGAAGAGAACCACGTGAATACAAAATTATATCAGGGGAATATTTTCAAGGTCAAGAGAAGGTGAGGAATCATGTTGGTCTGAGGGAATTTAGGAGGCAGGGGTGGAAATTACTATCTTCAGGGAACTTCTTCAACGAGCGAGTCGAGCAAAGGGTGAGTATGAATAATTTACTGGGCCTTACGGGCTGTGCGTGGTTGAATTAACTCAATTGATTTTTGAAAGCCCTCGTCACAAGTTGTTTAACCCATCAGGGTCAACACCGAGTCGGCTTTTGTTATTTCCCTGGCTTCTTCATCCTCGAGTGTTGCTCCATATATGAGATTTATCGAGTTGAAGCTAAATACTCCACTCGAAATACCTTCGAATCTGCGAGAGCTACTCAAATTTTCGTTATAACATTTTCTGTGGCTCTCATTTAGCTCTACGAAAAAGGTCTTATGAAAAATTTTGATATCCATCGTGAATCCTGAGATATTTGCAATAAACTGATCGATTTTTTACTATCAAACTTCTCCATGAGTTGATAGATGTGTCAACAGTATCAAAGTGTGTCAGACAAATGGACTGGCAGTCGTAAAAACCTTGGAAAATGTTAGTGAAGTGTTTCCGCTAATAAGTTACACTCGTCTTGAGATAAACTGTGATAATCCCCAGTCATTCACAATAACGACAACCCGTTGTCAATTTACTCCATGAACATTTTCACGGATGACATCCGCATGTATTCACCAACCTGATGAGTCCTGTTGAAAGAATTTTGTTTTTATATTTTCCCAGGCAAAACGAAAAGTGAAGGCTCGAGACCTTCAGCCCAACTCAACCTGTCTCATGAATATGAATAGATCGAGATCATTAAATGCCTTCCTGTCAAGAAATTCAATGAGTCTCACACCCTCATTCGGCATTTTTTTAATCTCCTTTTTTTGTTGATACTCGTGACATAATGGACTAGTTCTTCAAAGTCTTCTATTTTTTTTGACTGCTAAGATCATTCGAGTAGACTGAGCACTATAATTTTTCATCATTAATTGTGTTTGATGAGCCATGGGGAAGATTTGTTCTTCCACTTCAGACGTTGAGGATGAGGATGAGGATTTTTTATAAGTTGAGCTTTTCTTCTTTACGGCTGAGTAAATATCTTATCATGTAATTAAATGTAATCCGATCCAGTATCAACCAGCTAGCGCCAGTTTCGTGCAGTTGTGACTGCATATTCGTCAAGGTGCTGATCCAGTCCAGGTGAGAGACCACTGGAATGTCTATCCCATACGACTGCAACCTCGGTACATACAAATCTCTTCGGTGTGAATCAAATTAAAAATAAAATATCTCTCATAAACATATTTTTCCCTGTAAAAAACCTGAGGAAATATCCGAGACTCAGAACGAAAAAGACTTCAGAATTCTCTCCCCAAGACAAGATCATAATTTATTAAATCAATTAATCAATAGATAAATATATTCAGTAGATGCTTCTCTGGGATTTTTCATATCCTCTCTCGCTTTTTCACATCCAATCGCAATTGTACACCTGCGGAAGATTACGCAAGATTTCCGGGGACAAATTATCACTTGAACTGGAATGAATGGAGTAATTTTTAGAAACACTGAATGTGATAAATGGGTCTGGCATGTTTGTTCTAGTGATTTGGAGATGATAGATATGTAATCGAGTAAAAAATATTTGTCACACCATATTCAGAGATTTCAGGTCTACGGTAATTTTTCCCGGTGCAAATATCTTTTTCCAGTGCATGAAACCGTTTTTACAACTCTCACACCTTCGATAACATTATCGCACAATTGTGCAATTTTATGGGAGAATTCTTGAATAAATAATGTGAATCCCATCGACTCGTTGAAAAATTCTCTAATTGGCATCTTCGGCCGTTTCTCTTGAATTTTTAACGCGACAATTTATTATTAATTAAATCATTTCTATGTATTATGTTAAGTAGGAAAATCTCGTTAACAAAAATCTGTATTTTATTTTTATCTCGTGACATTATTGAATTTCTCTAATAACTCGAACACAATTATCCCCCTCTAATTACCCTCGTGGCCAGCTGTACACAGACACACGCATTGCATGTCTCTTATCAATATCCAGTTCCTACATATCTCTATTTCTTCATCCATGTGCGTTAGGACAGGCCATCGTTTGAAAGACCGTGTAGTAAACACTCTTCCACCGTTGAGTGTGGACTGTCAATTTCACGTGACAATTTATCACAACATTTTTACACCGGTTTAATAAATAATATATCCTCAATCTTTCCTCAGATTTATTGTCGAGTGATTATTATAATCAGTTAAATTCCAGTGCAAGTGTATATTGATTAAATAATCGGGTTAATTGGAGTTTAATGAACACCGAGTGATTGCACACGTGTTGAGTTTTATCAACAAAATAAATAATTGATAAGGGATTTTGAGATGAGGAACAACTGTCATCCGGACAAGTAGGTTAATTTCTTTCCTCTTGCGCTCATCGCGATAAGATTACGCGCAAATCATAACAATCGTTAAATTCATTCATCAGTCATTACTGTATTGTATTGATTTACGATCATTGATTAATGGATGGAGTGAATGGGTGGGAGGTATGAATTTTGTGCCGCTAATACTTGTGGCTCATGAATATATTAACAGCTCACAATGATATGAATAGACGCCTCCGATGTTTAGTTGTCAAACTGCCAATTCACAGTGAATATTGCGTTTACCATACCTGAGGTGAATAAATAATTTTTCTTCCGAACGATTTTAGAATTGATTGTCAGAATTCTTTTAATCTGAATTTTGAGGAAATATTGAATATTTCATTCAATATTTAATGAATAAAAAAATTATCTCCATGAATTGATATTTCAAATTTTCAATAAATTAAAAATTCAGGAAATAATTTCTTGGGCTTTTCGTATTTTCAGTGAATTTAGAAAATTAGAAATTTGGTGAATATTTAATGGATGATTTCTACTGGGAATTCCAAGAGCGATTATTAATAGATAAATATGAGTAATTAAAGTTGGAAGGGAAAGGCTGTAATTAAATAAATTGTTGGAATTTTTAAAGACTCACTTCCGAGGATTGATAACACCATGACACACCACGCCTCCATAATTCCATATTTTAACACAAATAAAAATGGATCATTGATAAAATTCCAGAGTTGATTAGAAGAGCATTAAACCCCGGTGTTGAGGTTTCGGACGTGCATTCCTGAATAATTGAGGGAATTGTCCTGCAATAAATAATTGCACTCCAGGAAATTTTCCTAATCCCATGGAATTGGACAATTGAAAAGATTCGTTGAAAACCGGTTGATGTCATGAGAACACTTGCTGGTTCATGTAATGATTGTGTGAATTAACGACTTCATTAGTAGTCAGTAAAATAGAAAAATACATTATTCCTTCACTCATTACCGAGATAATCCGAGAAAAATGGAATGAGAGACGAGACGATTATTTTCAGCAATTTATTTTCCCTCATTTATGTCATTCATTAGGTGTTTTCTCAGGGTAATTATTATTCCGAGTGAATGTCCATTTGATATTCAATTCCGAATGTACCCCAATAGTAAAATTCCAATTACATATTCAATTCCCAATGATCCCTCGGGTCATATGCCAATGCCAATGTAGGTGAAGACGTATTCCTGGGTAAATGCAACAGGTAGCGCAGCTGTTTGGCCTTGCATGGTGAATAAGATTGCACTTCCAGGCATTGCGTGCAATGCAAACTCTTATTTTATCCACGAGCCAGCAAGATAATACCACAAATAACAATTTATGTGGTATCCAATATTTATTACGAGTGTCAATTTTCCCAGATTTTCGTTCACTCCCCCCCAAGCGCATCTGATTATCTGATTCTATCGAACAATTAGATTCTTCTCTAATTGAAATGAAAATTACTGGTTAATTTCACAATTCCGGATGGTGCATCAAGGGGAAATAATTCGAGTCATTAGAAATCTGACTCACTCTGTCAATTCGATCTCTTAACGAAATATTTCCGCATATGAGCGTTGTTACAACGATTATTTCATCTAGACGACATTGAGCTACAACAACAGCATCTGGACCCCTTCATGGACACCGTAGGTTGAGGCATTGTCATCCACTTGAATTGAAAAATGATACCGTCACGAGGGCTTCACAATATCCCCCAAATATTTTTAATATAAAATACTTCCATAGCAATATCATAATAAAAAAAAATAGTAAAGTTTTAGGATTTAATTCTCCAATCTTTTCGTTGAGTAATTGAAAAATTCCGGCTTTCCTCGCTCTTTCTTCCGTGATCCCTCAGCCTCATCAGAACCCCAGCGATTCCAATTAACTCTCCATTGATGAACCTGAATACAAGCAGAATAGAATTTGATTTGAATCCAACAGTCGATGACAACTCAATCACAACTTCATCATCGTTACATCGAATTATCCACTGAAATCGAGAGATCGATGGAAATTCAATAGCCGATTGTCAACAGCCACGTGGTGATGATGTTGCTTTATTCCGAATATCGAAGTGAGACAGTCTCTTCCCCCTGACCTTTAACAATTAAACAATCAGGATAGGACAGATTAACCCGACCCCACGCCATTCTCCCCTCACTATTAATGCGGTAATTATTAAATTGCCATCACGTGATCTCGACGGTTGATTCGATAGTACAACGTAATTGGAATGGATTTACTCTTTATCTTCCCTTTTTATTCTCTCGTTGCTTAAAGAAAATCATTGCAGTGATAAGACTAAAAAATATATTTTTCCAATCATCATGATATTTATTTGGGAAATTTATTTAAAAAATACTGTCATTTTTAATGTCAAAGATTAACGTCAAGGTTACTTTTACTATAATTTTTTTTTCCGCGTCGGTCTTTACTGATAAAAGATTACGACTGTTATCAATTCAATCCCATGATTATTATGAATTATTGACAGTTCGAGGGCGACCTTCACTCGGCATTCCTGTTGATAACAACATCGGAAGTGCTGTCATTACGATATTACGATTATTACCCAGATGAATGTGCCTCAAATTCACTTGCACCGCGAATTCATTGGCGGCATCTCATTCCTCCGGGTATAAGACCCGCTGGAGCACTCGGTGTTGCATCACAATTGCTGATACTGCCGAGTCAACTTGACGATTCAGTTGACAGTTGACACTTCCGCGTAAGATAAGAAGAGAATAAAAAGTGAAATAAAAAATTATTTTAACTACAGAATAAAACAATTGTTTGAATTTACTTTAATAAAAAAATTTGCAGAGCAATACCTTTTTATCGTTGGATCTCGCGGTTCTCGCGGATCTCGCGGATCTCGCGGATCTCGCGGATTTCGCGGTTCTCGCGGTTCTCGCGTTGTCGATGAGATACACCGGAGATTGTAGATAATTATCTGACATGCGGTTAGATGTTATCGGGTAAATAGTTCTTCGCCCACGTGCGACGTAATAACTGGACTTGCGAGGAGAATAGTTAAGCCGCAGATGAATTTCTCGTTTGAAGGATTAATTTTAATCTATTTGTTGAAGATCGTGGATGCAGCCGGGGGGTGGAGGTGGCGTTGGCCACGGGAGAGGCATCAATCCAGGGGATGATGAAGCACCAAAGGATCCCGGTGCACGTATCACTCACCAATCTTTTTCGGAGAAGGATTATGAAGGTAATGGAGTTTTCATTTACTCTCCAGTATATATTTACAAGATTTTCAATTCATGGAATCGAATCGAAAATCGACGGTTGAGGGAATTAAATGGGTGGTAATCAGTGGAGAAATTTGTTCTCCTAACGAAAATAAAGCCGTTAGGGTTTATCAGAGCAAGTGGCTTCCGTAGGAGCCCAGGGCTTCGGAAATCATTAAACCTCCATGTCATCCCTCACGAAATGAGCTTTCACCGAGGTGAAATGCTCCGGGGTGAAATCGACCTCTGGAATGACATAAATTCAAATATTTATTTCAAATCCATTGTTTAATCTCACCGAGTTAGATTTCTTCTCTCACTTCTTCCAATTTAACCTGCCTCATTATTTTTCATAACGACGAGGAATCTAATGTCCCCAGTCTAGTTCTCAGAGGTGTTTCTTGAATAAAACGACATTCTGGGTCACATGTAGTACGTAGAGTGGATGACGTGACTAGTTAGACCGTTGTACCTCGCATGCCGGTCGATAGTCATCATTTTCGATTGCTCTCGGTTCAATTCTTCGGGAATATCTACTGGAGTAAAGGACTGATGGATTTTTGGGAATTCAATTTTTAATTCAAGTCGAGTCAATTAACTTCAGACGTCAGTCCAGATTTGAACTAATTTAATAAATCGATTCGATTCAATTGGATAAATATTTGGAGTTTATTCTCCCGCGGTTTGAACTTGATTAAGATTTTTTTTTTCACCTGTTTATTTATCCCTCATAATTTCCATCGGCTGACGTACCTTTCACGTCAATCTATCGATCCCCTCGATTTTTTCCGCAGATTCCACTCAATAAATTCTCTACTGGGATCCCATTTGACTGGCATTTTCCATTTAGATCTCTATTTTTATTTCTCTTCTTTTAAACTCGGGGAACAAATGATCGGGCACAAAAAATCTCTTCATAATTTCTAGGACACAGGGCGCACACCGTGTATGTGGGTGTTCATCTCCCGGGTGAAAAACGGCATCGTCGACATCACAAACACCACCACCCACGTCAGCCTGATACCAAAGACGAATCCGAGAATGAGCGACCCAGTAAGTTCTATTTTTCAGGGAATTATTTCCTGCTGAATCTCCAGGTTGATGTCACTGAAAAAAAAATATATTTGATTTTTTTTTAATATATATTATTGCAAATTCCCAGGGCACTGATTTCTAGATTTTCAAAATGAAAATTGTCTTAGAATAAATAATTTAGAATTTCGAAAATTTGCAAAAATATTGAAAAAACCATCAGGAATATCGCATTCTTGGTGGAAATATATTTTTTCCTCAGAGTATCATCTTCATTTTCCAAATTAATTTTTGCCTCAATGATTTCGCATGCGAGGATGAAAAATGTGAAAGAATCAATCCCGTGAAATTTCGTATTGATCATTGGACTTATTTACCCATGAAGATGTTCTTCTAGAAATAAAAAAAAATACAGTGGTAAGTGCAATAGACGAGTTGCTTTTCTCGTTGAAATTACAGGGCCATTGATGATGGCGAGAAGGGGTAGTCGACTAGCTAGCATCTGTGACCCCGATGGCGAGACTATATGTAAGCCCAAAATCACCGATAAAATCTCCTGTCCGTCTGAATTCCCAATAATTCAAATGAAGAGGAGATATTGTCGTCCAGCAAGAAATTGTTATCAATATTCTGCTTTTAGCCCCCTTTTTCCTTGCCTCTTTTATTCGTTTGGATTCGTTTGGATTCGTTTGAATTCGTTTAAACTAGAGACGTTTTCATGGACTATGATGCTATTATTTCCTTTTATTTTATTTCCCCAGTTCGTTAAAAATTCGCTCGTTTATTTACTTAATAGTTCTATATTCCATGTGAATATTAGTAAAGCACTCGTTGAGTACCACCCCACAGAGGGAAAATATATTTCAAATGAAATACATCGAGGGGTGAAAATTCTCCACTTAAAAATTTTTCCCTCTGTTTAACACACTTTTAATTATTTTTTAATTTATTGGGAGATATGACTCGTTATGATTCTCACGGAATAACTGAATTGAAAGAGTTTTTAATATTGTAGATTAGACCACTGTCACATTTATTTATTTACATAGCGAATGAATGAGATCTGAAGATATAGATTCACCTGGCTGATGCTTACATGAATTTTTTCTCTTTCTAACTAGCTGATGATAAAAAAAAATAAGAACCAAACTCTGACAAATCTCCGATAAAACTTTAATTCCAGTCACTCCACCAGCACAAAGGGTGCAATTTATCCTGGGTGAAGAGGTCGGAGATGATGCCCACGAGTCTCATCCACTTTTCTCGGAAATGGAGGAGCTTGTCAAGGATGGAGACGAGATGGAGTGGAAAGAGACCGCACGGTATTACAACTTGCTCTTCCAAAAATTCGATTAAACTCTTGTCCTACTTGAATCCACCAACTGATTCGAATTTTCTCCATTTCCACATAATCCACCAGTTGGATAAAATTTGAGGAGGACGTTGAAGAGGGTGGAAACAGATGGAGTAAACCTCACGTTGCAACTCTATCACTTCACTCGTTGTTTGAGCTGAGGAGTCTTCTGCTCAATGGAACAGTTATGCTAGACATGGAGGCAAGCAGTCTGGAGCAGATAGCTGATCTTGTTCTCGATAACATGATCAGCAAAGGAGTTCTACCAATTGACACACGAGAGAAGGTAATCCCCCGTTGCATCCCCCAAATTCCAATTTAACCCCGGATATTGCAGGTCAGGGAGGCACTCCTGGTGAGACATCGACATCAGCACGAACGCCGGAAGGACAACAACATGTCACGTCTCCCCATAATAAGATCATTAGCCGACATCGGGAGAAATCACTCATCATCAAAGAGTGAGTTCCCCTTACAAATAAATTCATGAACACAATTTTTTCGTTAGAATAATTTTCCCGATTCGATGAGAAAAATTAACACGATTTAATCAGGCATCAGAGACACTGTTTCTTTCAATACCGTGTCAGAACGAGGAAAAAAAAAACTCGTTGGATCAATGGAAATGTCGGAAAGAATAAGTTGATGGTGAAATCGGGGACAAGGTCTTGGAAGGTGAACACCACAGCCCCTCTTTATTTTTTCTACCCATTGAGATCCTTTCCATTCCTTTCCATCTCCTGACGCTCATCTCTTTTTTTCTTCAATATAATTTCCATCTCGTTTGTTTACCACTAGTTTATTCACCCGCTATTTTTACCTCTTGAGTTGATTCACTTCTCATTCATCATTATTTTGTATAATTTATTTTTTATGTTTATGTTAAGTTAATGATTTTTTTTCCTCCAAGTGTGGTGGATCATTCCAGACACCCGATTAACGCATTACCAAAAAAAAATATTCCAGATTGTGACATAACTTGTGGTATGCGTGGCTTGTTGACATCAGATTTACAGGCTCGTCCCGATGATGCATATTCACCAGCTGTTCCAAGGAGTACAAGTTGTCCAAATCCAAACACAGCACTTATAACGAAAGACTCGAAAGACTTAAAAGGACCATATCTCCTTGTACCAGGTACAACAAAAGGCCAATTATAGTCTGGTGATGGGTAATACGCTGGACATATCATGCGTTGACACAAACATGAGCCAAAAATCCTGAATTAGTTGCCCTAGTTTAATCCGCTATCAACCTGCCATATCCGATTTTCCCGAGTAACTCGAGGACTAAGTGTTAATTAGTTATGGGTGCATAGCTTCCGGGTAATTGAGGTACCGGGTATGAAGAGCACGAGGGGTAAAACCCACAGGAAAAATTATTCCCTGACACTTTAGCTCGACGAAATTTTAGGTAATGTCTATTGATTATTGAATATTGAGTGGATGATATATTTTTTTCTTTTTGCGCTCAATGGTTAGCTGAATTCAACATACCTCATGTAGTAGGATTCACCGCGTGGATCGCAATGTGTCGTCTGAAAGGTCAGATGGTCACGTTTATTTGGATGGAACTAAACTAATATTTTCTAAGATCGTAATATATAGATCGAATTAACCGTAAAAATGTGCTATTTCACTCTATTGCGTGTTTCGTATGGCACATCAGATGATATGTCCTGTCTCCAATTTTATTCTGATCATTTGAATGTTAGGAGTTTATCGGATAGTTCAAGCACAGAATTAAATAATCTCGATGTATCGATGTCTCACTGTTTTTTCAATCCATCGAACTCAGGGTCACTGAATTCTCTAGATTATATTGCTCCTTGTACATAAAATATCCATCGTCTATTTCTGTTCTATCATTTCGTGCTTCGTAGTGGAGGAATCAAATTCTGCACCGGCAATATCAAGTCATGGTGGCCCAGGAATGGGTGCCGGCAGCCGATTTCTTGCCATACCTGGTAATGCTGAAGAATCGCTTTATGTATTTTGTATTAAACGCCTGGTGCTCGCATTGACGTACATTTTTCATTCACATGCTCGATCAACTGCTTTATTATCGGAATAAATACAAGCACGATGAGACTGACGTACCCTGTTAGAAAATAAATGTGAAATTTCCGCAGAATTTTCCCTAAAAATTCATAAAAAACGCAGGAAAATTTCAGATTAATTTTTTTAACAGCGTAAAAACCTGCAAGAACAGATAATTTTTCCCAACAATCTTCAGCATCAGCAGAATGATTAGATATAGATTCACAGATACTTCTAATCCGTAAACAAATAACCCAAATATAATTGAATGCACCTGGCACGTGTAAATAAAAATATATGGGATAATGTAACAGGTCAGTCACGAAGGGACGAGTTATATCCATCCTTGACATTTAATCATACAATGGATTAGAAGTCGCGTGCATGCAAACGATCAAACCCCCGATCCCAGAGCACTAACAATCCCATGAAAAGTAGATTTTCACAATCATATATTTGCTTGAATAATTTCTAGACGTTTCTAAATACCTGCGTCTATGATAGCTTTAATAAAACGAAGCAGTTCTTTCTCGCTGATATTCCCATGAAAGAAATTTAGAAAAACATTCGATTCTAAGAGCAATCAATATATAATCGAGAGATATCGAGAAAGAGCTGCTGTGCACGTTGAAGGAAAATTCAGGGATGATATTGCAGTGATTTGTAAGCTGTATGATTTTTCCAGGTCAAGAGCCAACGATAGATCGAAGTCCCAGTAGTATATCGATAAGCAGAAATCACAGTTCAGGTGGTTTAGACAACGGAGACGGCAATCACAAGGTAATAACGATGAAATAGCAGTCTGAAGCCTTAAAATTTAATAGAATGGTAAATAAAAAATACTGAACACACATTGGTCCTAGGTAAATACGCATTTTATGCGGAAAATCCCAGCAGGTGCTGAGGCAAGCAATATTTTAGTTGGAGAAGTCGATTTCCTGGAGAAAACACTGCCGGCTTTCATTCGTCTCAGTCAAGCCAGTATGATGGGGGATTTAACGGAAGTACCAGTACCTACAAGATTTATTTTCATTCTCCTCGGACCAATGGTAATAATAAACATTAAATTCCCCACCTAATATTTATCGTACCACATTGGGAGCAGTTATTGCAATCGGAATGACTGATAGATCATTTTCGCTCATGCCTCTGTATTTCGAAGCTCCGGAAAAGCTTTAGATGATTATTTTATGACGACAGGGTGGAATTTCCGGGTTTCACGAGATTGGGAGGGCCATGGCAACTCTGATGTCCGATGAGGTCTTCCACGATGTCGCTTATAAAGCGAGGAATAGAAATCATCTGCTGGCGGGTATCGATGAATTTTTGGACGCAGTCACGGTTTTGCCTCCTGGTGAATGGGATCCAACGATAAGAATCGAACCACCAGCAGCTATACCCTCTCAGGTGAATATTTCAACTGTCAATATTCTGCTAATCGGTCTGTCCTCGACGCTGAAGGGTTTCATTACAGGATACCAGAAAGCGACCGAAGGAGGAGAAACCTAAAGAGGATGTGGATGAAGAGGCTGATGAACAAAAGCTCCGGGAGGAGTCGGGATTGTCGAGGACAGGAAGATTATTCGGTGGACTCATCAACGATATCAAGAGAAAAGCACCGTTTTACGTATCTGATTTTAAAGATGCAGTGGCACTCCAGTGCATAGCATCATTCATCTTTCTGTACTTTGCTTGTCTCTCTCCCATTATCACATTCGGCGGTCTTCTCAGTGAAGCTACTGGGAAGAATATGGCTGCCCTGGAGTCCCTCGTTTCCGGTTTCGTCTGCGGAATCGGTTACGGATTCTTCTCTGGTCAACCACTCACCATTCTAGGTTCTACAGGACCTGTCCTCGTGTTTGAGACAATAGTTTTCGAGTTTTGCAAAAAAATCGCGTGGAACTACATGTCGTTTAGATTCTGGATCGGTTCTTGGATCGCTGGAATTCTCATTGTACTAGTTGCCATTGATGCTAGCGCCCTGGTCTGCTACATCACGAGATTTACCGAGGAAAATTTTGCGACGTTGATAGCTTTCATCTTCATTTACAAAGCAGTGGAGAATGTCTTTGCCATTGGGAGGAAATATCCCCTGAATATGAATGGAGATGAACTCCTGGATATAAATTGCTTATGCAGACCGCCTAATAGTACGTCAATATTGCCAGGAAGCTACAGCAGTGTCAACTGGACTGCTCTAGATAAAGTTTCGTGTCAGGTAAGATCGTCTTCATGAAAATCAGAAGAACTCAGTCTTCAGGAAAAAAGTACGATTGTTTTTTTTTTTTTAGAATTTGAACGGTACATTAGTAGGGGATGGATGCACAACGCCTCAGTACGTACCCGATGTGTTCCTGATGTCAATTATACTTTTCATGGGAACGTTTCTGCTGTCTGTCGAGCTCAAGGACTTCAAGAACGCCCTGTTTTTCCCCTCCAAGGTAATAATTCGTGAATAATTTAATAATTTTTCATGTTTCGATGGCAATATTCTCTCTGCCCCCAGGTCAGACAAATAGTGAGCGATTTTGCAGTGATAATTGCAATATTTTCAATGTCAATACTCGATTATTGTACGGGAATAGCAACTCCAAAGCTCGAAGTGCCGAGTGAATTTAAACCGACTCTCGATGGACGCGGTTGGATTATCTGGCCATTCCAGGAGAATCCTTGGTGGAGTGCAATTGTCGCAGGTTTGCCAGCACTACTGGGAACAATATTAATTTTCATGGATCAACAAATCACAGCAGTTATAGTCAATAGAAAAGAAAATAAGCTGAAGGTATCGAATATCCGTGTGATATTAATCCCTAGAATCTGAAATGTGTAATTACTCAATTGTTAATTGTTGTCTATGTGTTCATACAGAAAGGCTGTGG